GAAGCAGATTTCGTTCTTCATGACTGGCTTACCTCATATTGCAATAGCATGGGTAAGTACTTTATAACTGCTTTTAATAATTATTATTTGATTATATTCTGAATTTATATTAATACAGTTGATCAAGTAAAGAAGAAATTGGTTGCAGAAGCGAATGATAAAGGACTTCTACCACCATCACCAAAAAAAAAAAATGTTCGGCCTCCTTCTAAATTAAAACATACAGATCATGAAGCAACTAATGCCTCGCAAGATTATGAAAGAAATTCAGGTGATTTTTCAGCATCTAATACTTGTCCAAATACAAAAATTTCGTCTCTAGCATATCAAAATACAACTGTTTCGTCTCCAGCACATCCAAATACAACAGTTTCGCCTCTATCAAATCCAAATACAATTTCGTCTCTAGCATATCAAAATACAACAGTTTCGTTTCCAGCACATCAAAATACAATGGTTTCACCTCCAGAACATCAAAATACAACAGATTCGTCTTCAGCCCATCCAAATACAACAGTTTCGTCTCCAACTACTATCTTGGAAACAAATATTTCAGTTATTTCCGAAACTGCTATTAATGCATCTGATACTCCTCAAGGTTTATGTAAATACTTTATATTCTTTTGTTATTTTCTTAAATATAATCAAATTTTCTATTTTTTATAGATAAAAAAGGTAAGGGAAGAGGAAGAGGAAGAGGAAGAGGGAGAGGAAAACGAATAGTAGGAGATACTTCATTGCAAAAAACAAAATCTAGAAAGAGATCCAAAGATGATAATGGTAAAATGGCATAGAATCTTTAAGAATGAATTTCACTAGTGTGTTTCCAAGATTGCATTCAATGAATTCAAGATTTTATATATTTTATTTTACAGTATTTATTTCAGTGAATTTATTGCATTTATTCCGAAACATTTCCATAATAATATTTAGTGAATTTACCGCATTTATTCCGAAACATTTCCATAATAGCATTCAGTGAATTTCCGCATTTATTCTGAAACATTTCCATAATAGCATTCAGTGAATTTATTGCATTTATTCCGAAACATTTCCATAATACCATTCAGTGAATTCACTGTATTTATTCTGAAACATTTCCATAATACCATTCAGTGAATTTACCGCATTTATTCCGAAACATTTCTATAATAATATTCAGTGAATTCATTGCATTTATTCCGAAACATTTCCATAATACCATTCAGTGAATTCACTGTATTTATTCCGAAATATTTCCATAATATCATTCAGTAAATTTACTGAGTTTATTCTGAAAAATTTCCATAATATCATTCAGTAAATTTACTGAGTTTATTCCGAAAAATTTCCGTCTTATTAATCAATGCGTATTAATAAAATTTCCATTATTTATAATTATAAATTCCGTGAATATGCTACATTTATGGAGAAAACACGGAATCTTGCATTTAATAATAAAAACGGAAAAAATACGGATTCAAAACACGGAAAAAAATTTTTACAGGGAAATATTAATTAGTTTTTAGTATTTATCGCTAAAGTATTTTCGCTAATGGAGAAGGAACCCCTTTTATCCAATCCAAATTTATAAATAAATCTTATTATTAAAAATTAGTCGCTTTTAATTTCCCTCCGAACAAAAAAGTTTCCCATTAGTATCAATTATTTTATCCTAAATAGAAACTACTACAGTTATGTATGTCAATTAACTTCAATTAATGTAATCACGCTCAAGAAATTATAAAGCATGAGAATAATGAATAAATAATTAAGGCTAGCATTTTACAATAAAAAAAATGTATGTTAATACGATTATTTTAAATTAATTTAATATTTAATAGAATTGTGCAATTGTCAAAAAAAAAGAATTATATGCCTTTGTGACAAAATCTATTAATAAAGAATTTTTTTTATTATTATTAGTAGATGAAATGTAACAGCATAATCTTTTAGAGAATTTGTTTTGTGTTTTTATAATCTATTATCTTCAAAAATTTTACTAATAATATAAATATTTTGAAGTGAAATAACAACCTGATATGTTTCCAAATCAATTACTCATGCGGCTGGTGCAGCTACTTTCTTAACCGCCTTCCGCACTTTGCAAAATGCCTTACTCAAATTTTAATATTTATTTTTATGAAATCATTTACAAACTGCTTAGTTATCATAAAAAAAAAAAGAAAATAATAATGAAAAGAAATACTTAAGAGATTTTATCGATGTATTGATACATACTTGAAAATTTATATAATTTTATCACATTATTCGATATTTGAGGTTATCAAAATATAACTTACTAAATCTTATTCTGTATGAATTTAACAACATCCTAATAAGACGAACTAAGAAATAAAAATATGACAGTATTTATCATATATTGAAGTGAGTTTTTGTCAAAATTAACGCTTAGTAATATTGAAATCATAAACACGAGCTTTTTATTGGCTAGATATATAAAGGAATGAAATAATAAGGAATTTTTTTTGCGCACGACAATTTATTATATATATGAGGGTAAGAGGGACCATTATTTCAAAAAATTATTCCCAAGTCCCTTTTCCCAACACTGCCCAATAGACTCTAAAAAAAATTATGTTCGAGATATTCAGAAATATAATCAGCAATAATTCAAAAGTTAAAATCTTTCTTAGATTAATCTTTTTGCTACGATTTTTAACGACCAAAAAATGATAATCTCACTGGAACAAAACTAATTATAAATGGAGTCAATCCTTGAGGACTGTATGCTTTCTCAACAGGTATTTGCAATTTTTTTGGAAAAATAACAATAATGCAACCAAGAAAACTCAAGATCGAATACCTTTCAGACACACTGAAAGAATTGATGGAGATATCGATATCGATAGAATCATTATGATCCTATGATCCCCTCAAGCTCAGATTATTAAATTCTAGTTATTGCGAATTACTTTATGTTTATGTTCGATTTTCATATGTGGCAATAATATTTCGATTACTAAATCACAAACTTTGAATAATTAATCCTAAATCTTAATTCTGGCCAAAATCTTCCTGTTGGTAGGAATCAAGATTGGCTATTTTAACTTAAACGAAATCTCAGACGTTGCAGTGCAACAGCTGAAAATTACGTTCTAAGACTTCAATTCCTGGAATTCTTGGACCTTCAGAGACATTGTTGTATTTTTTTTGATACATATGTTGTGCCTCAGATGTCGAATCGCCTCAGTTGACAACTGAGGCACCTCAAATATCGATCATCATTTGATGCGC